AAACATAAGAAAGAAGGTGTTACAATACTTATCAGACAAAGAAGACTTCAAGACAAGACAGGTGAAGAAAGACAAAGAGGGGCCGTATATAATGATCAAAGGGACACTCCGTCAAGAAGAAATAACACTTATAAATACCTATGCAACCAACACAGGAGCACCAAAGCACATAAAGCAACTATTAACAAACCTAAAAGAAGACATTCATAATAACACAATAATAGTAGGGGACCTCAACATTCCACTCACATCAATGGATACATCATCCAGACAGAAAATCACCAAGGAAACAGTGGAATTAAATGAAAAGCTAGACCAGATGGACTTACTAGACATATATACAACACTCCATCCAAAATCAGCAGCATAGACATCCTTCTCAAGTGTGCACTGAACCGTCTCAAGGATAGACCATATGTCGGGAAACAAGACAATCCTCAATAAATTTAAGAAAATTGAAATAATAACAAGCATCTTTTCTGATCACAATGCTATAAAGTTAGAAATTAATTACAAGAAAAAAGCTGAGAAAAGGACAAAGATGTGGAGACTAAACAACATGCTATTGAACAAGCAATGGATCATTGAAGAAATTAACACCATGCCAACTCATATGGGATGCAGCAAATTAAGAAGGAAATTCATCGCAATGCAGGCTCACCTTAACAAACAAGATAAAACCGAAATAAGCAGTGTCAAAATACACCTAGTAGAATTAGAAAAAGAGGAACAAACAAAGCCCAAAGTCAGCAGAAGGAGATAAATAATGAAATCAGAGCAGAAATTAATGCTATTGAAACAAAAAAGGAAGTAGAAAGGATCAATGAGACAAAGAGCTGGTTCTTTGAGAAGATAAATAAAATTGACAAACCTCTAGCCAGACTTACAAAGAAAAAAGAGAGAAAGCTCAGATAAATAAAATTAGAAAGGAAAGAGGAGAAATTACAGTGCATACCACAGAAATACAACGGATTATAAGAGAATACTATAAAAAACTATATGCCAACAAAATGTACAATCTAGAGGAAATGGATAAATTCTTAGATTCCTACAAGCTCCGAAAGCTGAATCAAGAAGAAATAGAGAATCTGAATACACCAATCACAAGTAAAGAGATTGAAACAGTAATGAAGAGCCTCCCAAAGAAGAAAAGCCCAGGACCAGACAGCTTCCCTGGGGAATTCTACCAAACGTTCAGAGAAGATTCAATACCTATCGTTCTCAAGCTATTCCAAAACACTAGGGAAGATGCAACACTTCCTAACACATTCTACGAGGCCAACCTCACTCTGATACCAAAGCCTGGCAAGGACAACACAAAAAAGGAAAACTACAGGCCAGTATTGCTGATGAACACAGATGCAAAAATCCTCAACAAAATATTGGCATCCCGAATTCAGCAATACATCAAAAAGATCATACATCATGATCAAGTGGGAATTATTTCAGGGATACAGGGATGGTTGAACATCCACAAATCAATCAATGTGATACACCGCATTCACAAAATGAGGAGGAAAACCACATGATCATCTCAGTAGATGCAGAGAAAGCATTTGACAAGATCCAACAGCCATTCATGATAAAAACTCTGAACAAAATGGGGATAGACAGGAACTACCTCAACATCATAAAGGCCATATATAACAAACCCACAGCCAACATCATACTCAATGGGGAAAAACTGAATGCCATCCCTCTGAGAACAGGAACAAGACAAGGGTGCCCACTATCATCACTCTTATTCAACATAGTACTGGAGGTTTTGGCCAGAGCAATTAGGCAAGAGAAAGGAATAAAAGGAATCCAAATAAGGAGTGAAGAAGTGAAACTCTCACTGTTTGCAGACGACATGATCTTATATATAGAAAACTCTAAAAAATCTATTGGAAAACTATTAGAAATAATTAACAACTACTGTAAAGTTGCAGGGTACAAAATCAACTTACAAAAATCAGGTGCATTTCTGTACTCTAATAACGAACTAAGAGAAAGAGAACTCAAGAATAGAATTTCATTTACAATTTCAAAAAACAGAATAAAGTACCTAGGAATAAATTTAACTAAGGAGGCAAAGGACTTATACAATGAAAACTATAAGACATTATTGAAAGAAATAGATAATGACATAAAGAGATGGAAAGAGGTTCCATGCACATGGATTGGAAGAATAAACATAGTTAAAAAGTCCCTACTACCCAAAGACATACAGATTCAATGCAATCCCAATCAGAATCCCAATGACTTCTTCAAGGAAATAGAGCAAAGAATCCTAAAATTCGTATGCGGCAACCAAAGACCCTGAATTGCTAAAGCCATACTGAGAAAAAAGAACAAAGCTGGAAGCATCACAATCCCTGACTTCAAAATGTACTACAAACCCATAGTGATCAAAACAGCATGGTACTGGTACAAAAACAGACACACAGATCAATGGAAGAGAACTGAAAGCCCAGAAATAAAACCGCACATCTATGGACAGCTAATCTTCGACAAAGGTTCCAAGAACATACAATGGAGAAAAGGCAGTCACTTCATCAAATGGTGTTGGGAAAATTGGACAGCCACATGCAAAAGAATGAAAGTAGACCATTATCTCATGCCATACACAAAAATAAACTCAAAATGCATCAAAGACTTGAAGATAAGTCCTGAAACCATAAAACTCCTGGAAGATAATATAGGCAGTACACTCTCTGACGTCGAACTTAAAAGGATCTTTTCGAATACAATGTCTTCTCAGACAAGAGAAGCAAAAGAAAAAATAAACAAGTGGGACTTCATCAGACTAAAGAGCTTCTGGAAGACAGAAGAAACTAGGATCAAAACCAAAAGACAACCCACCAATTGTGAGAAAACTTTTGCAAATCATATATCCGACAAGGGGTTAATCTCCATAATATATAACGAACTCACACAACTGAACAACAAAAAAACACACAGCCTGATCAAAAGATAGGCAGAGGATGTGAACAGACATTTTTCCAAAGAAGATATACAGATGGCCAATATACACATGAAAAAATGTTCAACATCACTAATCATCAGGGAAATGCAAATCAAAACTACTCTAAGATGCCACGTTATGCGTGTTAAAATTGCTATAATCACTAAGACTAAAATTAACAAATGTTGGAGACGGTGTGGAGAGAAGGGAACCCTCATCCACTGCTGGTGGGAATGCAAACTGGTGCAGCCACTGTGGAAAACAGTATAGAGATTCCTCAAAAAACTAAAAATAGGGGCTGCGAGGCCAGCCGGGTGGTGCAGCGCTTAAGTTCGCACGTTCTGCTTCTCAGCATCCCAGAGTTAGCCAGTTCAGATCCCGCGTGTGAACATGGCACCGATTGGCAAAAGCCATGCTGTGGTAAGCGTCCCACATATAAAGTAGAGGAAGATGGGCACGGATGTTAGCTCAGGGCCAGTCTTCCTCAGCAAAAAGAGGAGGATTGGCAGTTGTTAGCTCAGGCTAAACTTCCTCAAAAAAAAAATAGGGGCCGCCCCGTGGCCAAGTGGTTAAGTTAGCACACTCCGCTTTGACAGCCCAGGGTTTCACCGGTTTGGATCCTGGGTGCAGACATGGCACCACTCATCAAGCCATGTTGAGGTGGCATCCCACATACCACAACTAGGAGGACCCACAACTAAAAAAATACACAACTATGTGCTGGGGCGATTTGGGGAGGAAAAAGCAGAAAAGAAAAAAAAAAAAAGAAGATTGGCAACAGTTGTTAGCTCAGGTGCCAATCTTTAAAAAAAAAAAAAAACTAAAAATAGAACTACCATATGACCCAGCCATCCCACTATTGGGTATCTACCCAAACAACTTGAAATCAACAATCCAAAGTAACATTTGCACCCCTATGTTCATTGCAGCACTATTCACAATAGCCAAGACATGGAAACTATTCAAGTGCCCATCGACTGCTGATCGGATAAAGAAGATGTGGTATATATACATAATGGAATACTGCTCCGCCATAAAAAACACAAAATTGTCCCATTCACAACCACATGGATGGACCTTGAGGTTATTATGTTAAGTGAAATAAGCCAGACAGACAAAGACTAATACCACATGATTTCTCCCATATGTGGAAGATTAACAAACACATGGACAAAGAGAACAGTGTAGTGGTTACCAGAGGGGAAAGGGTCTGGGGGTGGGCACAGGGGTGAAGGGGCGTATGTGTATGGTGACTGACAAATAAAAATGTACAACTAAAATTTCACAATGTTATAAACTATTATGACCTCAATGAAAAAAAAAAAGATCATTTCATAATGACAAAATCTGATTTCTTAGGTACAACACTGAGAAAGCACAATCCATAAAAGGAAAATTGGTAAATTGGACTTTGTCAAGATTAAGAACATCTGCTCTTTGAAAGATGCTATTAAGAGAATGAAAAGGCAAGCCACAGACGGGGAGAAAAATCTTAGCAAAGCCTGTGTCTGGTAAAGTATTTGCACCTAGAATAAAGAACTCTCGAAACTGAATAATAAGTAAGCAAATAAATGTGCAAAAGACTTGAGCAGACACTTGACCAAAGAAGGTATATGGACGGCAAATAAGCACCTGTGTGTAAGACATAACTACACACCTGCACAGTGCCCTAAACGTTTAAAAACCGACCATGCCAAGTGCTGAGTAGGGCGAGGAGGAACCAGAACGCTCATCCTCGGCTGGTGGGAAGGCAAAAGGGCACAGCCACTCTGGGGAACGGTTTGGTGGGTTTTTAAAAAGTCAGAAAGCGGCTGGCCCCGTGGCCGAGTGATTAAGTTCACCCGCTCCGCTTCAGCGGCCCGGGGTTTCACCAGTTCCGATCCTGGGCGCGGACATGGCACCGCTCATCAGGCCGTGCTGAGGTGGCGTCCCATACAGCACAACCAGAACGGTATAAAACTAGAATATACAACTATGTATATTTGGGGAGAAGAAGAAGAAAAAAAAAGAAGAAGATGTTAGCTCAGGGCCAATCTTTAAAAATAAAGTCAGACAGACACCAACCATATGATCCAGCCGGGCGTCTCCCGAGTATTTACCCAGCATAAACGAAAGCATGCACTCACTGGAGACGGGTGCGCACATGTCCCAGCTTAATTTAGCCCCAAACTGGAAACATCCCAGTGGCCACCAGGAGGCGAAGGGGTGAAGAGACTGTGGCACACCCACACCAGGGCGTACTGCTCAGCGATAAAATGGGAACGAACCATTGACTCCAACCACAGCATGGATGAAACTCAAAATAATTTCTTTCATTCAAAAGTTGAGTGAAAGAAGCCAGACAGAAAAGCAGCAGATACTGTTTCTATTTATATAAAATTCCAGAAAATGCAAACGAATCTACTGTGACCAGGAGCAGGTCCGCAGAGGCCACCGCCAGGTTCCGAGGGTGAATGGGCAGTGCCGTCCTCTGTCACCTCTGCTTGTGCTCCAGTTAGGGGGAAGATTGGGGTCAGAGGGACCTCAATGTCTGATACTGGGTGGGGCCGGGGCCTCTGACCCCCAGAGTCACCAGGGTCAGGCTGTGGGGCCACCTGCCCTGCCACCCGGACTTCTGTAGGGCCTTGGCTTTCCAGTCCACGTGTCCTGGGGCCCCTGGCAGCTGCCTCTGTGCGTGGTGGCACTAGCTGACCCAGGTGCTGCCGGTAACTGAACAGCACCTCCCACAGGCGGCCAGCATGACGCTCTTGTCCGCTGGACAGCAGGTTGGGGCCCGAGGCTCCCCTGGGCCAGCACCTGGCGTCAGTGGCCCTGGAAGTCCTCCTGATCCCATACAGCGTGCTCTGCATTCTCCTTGACCAGCCACGCAGAACTGGCCATTGTGAGTCTGGGGAGCCTGGCCCTGCTCCAGCCACACCCGGTCCGTGCCAGCGTCCCCTGGAACTCTTCAGACCCGGCCCTGCCCACCCTCACCTGCTGCTAGCCAGTGCCTGAGTCGCTGCCCCTGCCTCTTTGTGCAGGACCCTGACCCCAACCCGACTCTTGGTCCTCAGTTCACCCATTCGTCCCAGCTCACTCTAGGCCTAGGACATCCTCTGGTCTGGCTCCTACCCTCTCACCGGTGTCTCCACAGCCATGTGGGTACTTCAGGCTTGATGGGGCCTCTCCTCACCCCGGCCTGGCTCCTAGCCTTGAGGGTCTGGCTGCTTTTCTTCTGGCCCACCTCCTCCACGAAGCCTTCACGGCTGCTCAGGGCCCTCCAAGCTCTGAGCTGCATCTGCTCTCAGAGCTCACTTGACTTGTGCTTCCTGCTGGGCCCCCCAACCTGATTTTCTTCCACAGTGAGGAACCCCCTGTTATAGACTGCATGCTTGAGTCTCCCCAAAATTCATATGTTGAAGCCCTCGCCCCAGGATGATGGAATTAGGAGGTGAGGCTTTGGGGAGGTGATAAGGTCATGAGGGTAGGGCCCCAATGATAGGATTAGTGCCCCTATAAGGAGAGACCCCAGAGCTCCCTTCCTGCCCCTCTCTCCCCATAGGAGGACACAGAGAGAAGACCTGCCAGCAGCCTGATCTCAGACCCCAGCCTCCAGGGTGTGAGAAGCACACGCATGTTGTTGATAAGCTCTCGCATCTGAGTGCTTTGGTGCAGCAGCCTGAACTAGACACCTCGCAGTGAGAATGTCCCCAACATGGTCCCCTCCCGGGAGCTTGTGAAGATTCACAGTGGAAACTGGACTACATGGGATCAGGAAGGCCTGCAGGGGGAGCTCTCCGCCCCACCACGTGTCCTCAGTTACCCCAACAGGAAGAGAGGGACCCAGCATCTCAGACAGGAAGTTGGCTACTACTTTGCTGCCCCAGCAGGAGGAAGGTTTTTTCTTGCCCAGTAACAAGCCCAGCCAATGGGAAAGGGCTGCAGCTCAGCCAATGAGGAGCTGTCACCACCTGAACGCTTACTCTCCCCCAGTGGCTTTCCTTTAGAACAGCCCCCTCCCTACTTCCCCTTTTTCTCTATAAAAGCAGCTCCTCTCCTTTGTTCTCCGGACTTGCCTGTGGTTCCAAGTAGTTTGCATGTCCCAAATCGCAATTCTTTTGCTATTCCTGAATAAATTCATTTTGCTGGTAAAATAACTGGCCATTTTATTTGAAAGCTGACATGCTCCATCACCACTGGCAGACTCCAGGGGGAGGAGTCATGTGCATGGCCCAGCCATACCCCAGTGGCCACCACCACTGGGCCACCAGCTCCCAGGGTCACATAGAGGGCAGCCTGTGTCCCTGACACTCCCCAAAGCCCCCCTCACCAGCCACCAGCAGAGAGCAAATGCACCCTAACCCGCCACCTACAAGCTTGAAAGGCAAAGGCAGCCCAGATAACCCCCTGGCCCGGGCGTGTGGTGTTCCCCATGCTGCCACCCGGGGCCCAAACCCCGCATCCTGCCGGACCAGCCTTATCTGTTTGCTTTTCACTCAACGTCCACTAGCAATCAGCTTGGCATCAGCACCAGGCAGGGGGCTGGCAGAGGGTCTCATCAGGGGCTGGGGACACGCTCTCGGTGGTCACTGCAGCCTCTCCCAGCTGGCCCTCCGCTGACGGGACAGTGGATTCAGGCCCAGACGCTGAAAATGTGATACCTTTCCCCCAGGATCTTGGAGATGGAGCCTTCAGGACCCTTGACTCGATGCTGAGGGGGATTGAGCCAGGCTTGTGAGAAATGTGGACAGAGAGTCAGTGAACATCATGGGGGGCAGCCCGGGGTCCCCCCTGACAGGGGTATGAGGAGGAGGCAGCATTTGGGGTTGCTGGTCTGGAGGTGCTGACTCCACTCACAGTGGGGCTCAGAGGTGAGGCGAGGGGATCAAGGGGTCAGGTGTGGGTAGCCACACTGGGTGGGCTGTGCTGAGCACGGGCCAGGTGGGAGCACCCCTGGGCACTTCCCAGAGCTACAGACCGAGCATTCCCTCCTGGGAGCAGTTCCCCCACCCAGCCGAGCTTCTCCAGACTAGGGGGACAAGTTGGCCCGGCCCCACCCCTGCGGGGTCTGCCTGGGTGGCAGGTGGGCATCCAGCCCCAGGCCTGCTTTCCCAGCCCACATTGGCTCAGGCTGCCCCTTAGCTGCCTGTGGTCCTCCCATCAGGCCCCAGCACAAGACCAGGCACCTAAAATGGATAAAATGACCGTGGGCCCTGACCCGGGAGAAAGCAGGGAGTGAGCACTCTGGCCTGTTCCAGAACACAGTTCCACCAAGCCTGTGGCAGCTGTACGCTTGGGCAGCAGCTTCCCCGACAAAGGGCTCTCCAACCTGCCCCGGGGCCCCTCACCTGTGGCTCCAGGGTAGGGGTCTTGAGTGAGGTGTGACTCAAGGGAGAAGAGGCTGCAGGTCACCGGGTGGTCAAGGACAACACTGGGGGGAGAACAGAGTGAGAAGAGTGAGGAGGGGCTCCTGCTAGGACAGCCCAGGGCCTGGTCACCTAGCCACACACAGGATCTTGGGCTGAGGGTGGGCTAGGTGGGAAGGTGACTCTCATCCCCAGGCCTGAGGCCCCTTCCCTTCTGGGTCCCCTTCTCACCCCTCAGTCATCTTTGCTCCAGCCGCTCCAGGCTTAGAGTCTCCTGTCGGCCCCACAGCTCCCGATCTGGCAAAGGGTCAGCCTGGGCCGACCCCTCCGCCCCACCCTTGATGCCCAGGGTCCAGGAAGTCATTGCTGGCTCTGCAGTGAAACGCCCCAGTGCTGGCCGGTCATTACAGCCTCCCTGACCACTCATGGGACAGGCAATGGCAGCTGGCCAGGCCAGGGCACCACTGCCACAAAGGCGAATTCCTGCTCCCATGTCGAAATCTCTCCCCAACGTGCCCTGAATGCACGGTTCTCAGTCCTTTGATCTGACGTGATTAGTGGAGCCAAGCCTCTGGGGGTGAAGCCCCACCTGCCCTCCCCCAGGAACGTCACACCTGACAGGTGGGGCCCAGAGGGGTGGGCCGACCAGCATGGACTCTGGTGCCTCCATAAACCAGAGTCCCGCAAACCCAGGTCTTGGGGGCTTCCTGCCTGTGAAGGGAGCCAGGCCCTGAGCCCATCCTGGAGCCTTCTGGAAGCGCCTGCCATTGGTGAATGCCAATGTCATCATCCAGGCCCTCGGCCCTAAGAGAAGGTCAGGTCAGGGCTGCCCAAGGAGCCACAGCCTAAGGGACAGGGCCCGCCCTCCTAACTGAGCCAGGAAGCTGGAAACGGTGTGCAGGGCCCCTTTGCCTGGACCCTGGGATCCGGGGCTAGGGGCCTGCTCAGAGCAGATCATGATTAGGCCTTGGGGCCCCCTCGGGCTCCCTGCCTCACAGCCAGCCTGGGCCCCGGGGTGGCCGGTGCTGCTCAGGGCTTGCGACGCAGATGGGGCTGAGGGCTGGGGTCTGAGCTGCGGTATAAGGGCAGACAATTGCCCACTTGTCCGGGCCTATAGTTCCGCTTCCCAAGGCTGGCCAGTGGGGACATGCTCTTATCGCCATGACCGCTGGGAACAATGGCAGCACACACTCTTATCTCCAGCTGTTTGCTCAGCGCATTAGAGCACTCCCAGGTCAGCCACAAAAGCACGATTCTCAGAGATTTCCCTCCAAACCACTCCATAGAAAGGGAAATGGGGCCTGCAGCCCCACCTTGCTGGGCTGGAGCCAGACCTGGGCGCCACAACGCTGCAGGCCAGAGCCGCCCGCTAAGTGCGCACATGCGGTGGGCACAGCCCCTGGTGACGGATCCGGGAATGCACAGCGCAATTTTTCCAGGAAACCCAAACCAAGTGCCACATGCACACACACACGCACACACACAGGCATGTACATTCACCCCCACACACATACACACACACTCAGACACACACATACACACATGGGCTTCTTCCATCCAGGCCCCCCCACTGTACTACAAGTGACACCCAACCCCTGGCCAGCCACACATGAGTCCTTCAAGCCACTGGGAAGTGACACTGGGGACCCCTACCTACCACAAGCCCTGGACCCCTCTTGGGGCCCTGCAAATCCATGACCAAGGAGTGTCCCCATGACCACAGTTCACTCCCTCTGGCTCCATCCTTCACCCATCCTCTGATGTGTCTGAGGCATGGGGGCCACACCCTCCAGGTGCTGGGACACACGGGGAACACATGGGACACATGGTGGATGGGCCCCCGTCGGGGGAGGCACTGCTGGGAGACACAACAGCTCCCGACATGTGGGGCAGTGAGTGCAGAAGGGGATGGAGGGGCCGTCAGAGAACAAGGCCTGGGGCTCAGTTCCACTGCCAGCCGCCCGCCACGCCCACCTTGAGCTGTGCCCAGGCCCTGGGACAGCTTTCTCTGGTGGGAGGTAACCCAGGGGCCCTCAGAGCAGGGCAGGCAGCACGAGTATGTTTCCCATCAGGGTTCCAGGCCCCTCTCCTTACCCTGCTTTTCCCAAGGCTGACATGTCACCCCCACAGCCTCGTCAGGCACATCATCCCTCTGCCCCCAGGCCGGGACTGAGTCTCGAGGGAAGGCCCACCCTCTTGACCCTGTGGGACCCTGGGCCCTGTCCCCATATTTGGAGCTTCACGAGACCCCCGTGAGAGTGTGAGCTCACAGAGCACAGGGAGACCCCCCACGGCAGCCCCACTGGGAAACCTGGACAGATAGACAGACCCCACTGCCTGTGTGCCCAGCCTGGGGGTGGGGTTCCAGTGACGGGGCACCCAGGAGGGTATCTTACCCAGCCCCTTACCCAGCTTTACGTGTGCTCCAGCCTCTCGGCCCACCTGGGCCGGGGCCACTCCTGGGCCTCGGGTCCTCCTCCAAAGGGGGCCACTGAGAGCATTAAAGACAAATGACCCAGGACAGCAGTGCCCAGAGGTGCCCAGAGCACATGGGGACCCTTCCACCCACCCAGCCTGGGCTCGGACACCCAGAGGCCAGCAGCCTACTGAGAGCAGGTTTTCTGTTAAAACAATTTTCTATTAAAACTAAAGTTTACTTAACGTAAATGCACAGCATCTACTGTATTTGTGTGGCTGGGTCTCCAGGGCAGCGGCGGGGGACAGCCCTCAGGGCACAGCCACAGGTCCTCCTGCACCCCAAGTCTCCATGGGGCCAGAACTGCCCTCAGGAAAGGGGAAGCCCCCATGCCAGGGCCTCAGGATGCCAGACGGGCTCCCACACGGGCTCCCACTTGGGACTGGGCTGCCCTGGAGAGCTGTCAGATCCACGCATGCTCCTCAACTGCCAGAAGGTCCCACAGAGAATCCAAAATACCCATGCTCCCCGACCCTCACCTCACCCTGACCCTGATCATGACCCTCACCCTGACTGCCTCCTAAGATGGGCAGCCCCCAAGGCGGCCCCACCCCTGCTCCTGTGCCTGAGATGAGCAGCTCAGAGCCGTGGAGGATCAGAAAACAGTAACTGGGGTCCCCAGGGGCAGCATGACCACTCTGCCCCCTTCCCCGTCCCAGGACCCGAAGTCCCAGGAGAACCACTGAGGAGGGGTCTCCAGGAATGAGCTGTCCATCCAGGGCCCCTGCGCCCCCAAAGATGATGTCAGCCCCAAGAGCTCCTCAGGGTTCCAGGAAGGTGTCCTGTCTGAGCCCTAAGGCCAGCTGCTCATCGGCGACGGCCTCGCACTTGGGACCCCACACCGAAGGTTGGTCTGGACTGGCTTCACCTCTGGAAGGGTCCTTCCATGGGGTGGTCTTCCCTCCCAGGATGGGGGACCAGCATGCTGGCACCTTTGGGGGGTCCTGGGGTCCAGTTGAGGGTGGAGCTCACCCCAGGAGCTATCCTGGCACTTTCGGCTCCCCTGCATGGGCAGAGAGGTACCCAGGCATGTCCCCGACATGCCCTGGACAAGCCCCCTCTTGGTCCCTGGGGTGTGGCTGACAGTGCTCATGCTGACCGCCTGGAACTGTGCCCCCGGAAGTGTCCCCCAGGCTGGCCCCTGGCAATCTCAGCCTGGAACAAACACAGCAGGTGTTTGCAGGACCCTGGAGGGCATGTGCCAGCCCCCTGCTTGGCGGCGAGTGATAATGAGGCCACTGCCTGCTGAAAAATTTTCCAAATAAATCCAAGTCCTGATAAAGCAGCGCCTGAGATCCTGTTTGGCCACGGCTGCTCCCGGCCAATGGTGGTGATTACGGAGCTGAAGCGCGGGGCGCAGGCAGGCGTGGCAGGGGCAGGGCTGCAGCGCCTATATAAGGCGTCCAGGGCTGGCCACTCGGGTTGCACAGGTGCACCAAACCTGCCAAGGGTCCAGCAGTGGGAAGGGCGGGGTCCAGCGGCGACCTCCCTCTTCCACGCGCCATGCTCGTGCCTCGGCTGCTGCTGCTGCTGTCCTTTGGGGCACCACTGCTCAGCGCTGGTGAGTGGGGGCCTGTGGGCCATGCGTGTGGGGCAGTCAGATGCCCCCAGAGGGCCCGTGCATGTGAGAAAGTCTCCCAGGTCTCCTCACCTCACTGACTCGGCCGGAGGTGGGCTGGCCACATGGACGTTGATGGATGGGAGGCAGGGAGCAAATCCTGGGAGGGCCCTGCTCGCTCTGTGGCTGTCCCACACCTGCCAAAGCCCGGATCTCCATCAGTGGTCTCAGAGCCTGGCCCAGCCAGTGAAGGTCAGAGGGAGCAGGGGCCAAGTGCAGGCTGCCCCTCACCCACACTGGGCACAGAGGCCAGGGAGGAGGGATGCTGGCTGCGGTGGGACGGGGGTCCCTTGGGGACACGCAGTCTCTTCAACGACTGTGGGTGCGGTGGAACGTGAGCGTGCTGGGTAGGACAGCGCTGGGGGCTCGGTGTCAGAGCTGGGTGCTCTCACTCACTGGGCTCAGGGTCCTGAGAAGTCTCCGGGGGTCCTCAGGAGCAGCCAGAGGTGCACAGGGGGCCTCGTGGGCATTGGAGCCAAAAGACTCAGGTGGAGACTCGTGCTCCACTGGGTCCTGACTGAGAACAAAGTGGGTTCTGGGCCTCAGTTTTCCCGTCTATAAAAGTGGGGGACAATATCTCCCCCTCATGTAGGTGCCATGAGGATTAAAGAAGTGGGAGGACAGAAGGGGCCACCCCACCCCAGAGCCCCCTAGTCTCGCCCATCAGGCCCACAGGGCAGGGGTCCCTTCTCCTCCCCCACCACCCAGGTCCCTTCTGCCACCCACCCCCGGGCACTGCCATTGCCACAGGCTGAGGGTGGCTTTCTCTCCTGCCCCCAGCCCTCGGGAGGGGCCAGCCCGGAGGGTCCTGAGACAGACAGGGGAAGCCCGTCTTGCTGACCACAGGCCCCAGGCCTTCTGCATCTTCTCTGCCTGCCTGAGAGCCCAGGTCTCTGAGCTGGCGGGACTTGCTCCATCTTTCTTCCTTAGTCCTTGGCCCACTGCCCACTCCTCGGCACCCCGGGAGCATCCCCAGCCTCGGCCAGGGAGCCCAGGTGTGGTGACAAGCCCGGTGCCCAGCTGTGGCCCCCCGGCTGGGGATGGGAGATGGGCTAGAGACTCTGAGCCCAGTGGGTGCCCCCTGAACCTGCCCCGTTCCTCCCATGAAGCCCCTCCCCCACCCGCAAAATACTGCCTTTGCCCCCAGGGGTGGCTCTGAGTACCCAGGACCCCTGCCCAGCTGAGGTCACCTTCCTGGGTGGGTCCCAGGCCCTGGGGACTCCCAGACCTGGACCCAGAGCCAGGGCGAGGGAGGCGCCTGGGAGCTGGCGGGCATGGGTGCTGGCCTGCAGGGGTGGCGAGGGGCTGCAGCTTTGAGGAGCCCAGCGGTTCCAGGCTGTGAACGCTGCAGAGGGTGGAGGGACGGCATCTGTCCGCATCTCAGCAACTGCTCTTTGAGCACCAACCCTGCTGGTGTGGGTGGTCTGGTATGCTGGTGTGGGGTGGCGGCCCTGCCCTCCTGGACCAGAGGCCCACAAAGCACGAGGTCAGACACCAGGGTCTCAGGGGTCTGGGGCTGTGGAGGTTCAGGAAGGAGACCCCTGACCGGGCCAGTGTTGAGCTAGAAGGGGCAGGGGTGGGTGGGGCCACCAAGCGTGCAGAGGGAACAGCGTGCACTCTGGCCCCGTGTGACCATCTGGGGCTGAGAAAGGCTGTGCATGGTGGACCAGCCCACCCTGCAGGCCCCATGGGTCCCAGCCAGGGGTCAGAGCCTGCTCGGAGAGCAGTGGGAAGCACAGATGGCCCTGGGGAGGCGGCAGTGACGTGGCCGGCTTCCTGAGCATCTTCAGAGGAGCCCCCACTGCCAGGAGGGTCATTGTTCAGCGATGAAGGCTGCGGACCTGGGTGGGGACCGAGCAGAGAACAGGAGATGTGACAGGGCTCAGGGAGGCTGGTGTCATGCACATGATGAGGAGGAGCTGGTGGAGGGGCAACTGCCAGTGGGGAGTAGACTAGGACGTGACCCGCTGGGAGCGTAGTGGACAGGACTCGAGGGAGATGGTCATGAGCCAAGAGGGGGCCAAGATGTGAACATGCAGGATCGTCACCATGACCATGGTGGGAGGAAGGCCAGTGTCACAGCTCCATCAGAAACGTGAAGCCACATGGCCTCTTGTGAGGCCCTCCCTGCCTGGGGACCCAGCAGCTGTTGGGCAGGTGTCCCTGCTCCCTGGTGTAGCCCAGAGACACAAGGCTGATGGCGACCAGTGCCACAATGGGGAGAACAGAGTCAACCCCAGGAATGCCACAGAGCCTGATGCGAAGAGGGCCCAGGGAGTGTGCAGGAATGGGACCATGAGCGGCATCCGGCTGATGAACGGGCCCGGGAACCAAGGCAGAATCGAGGCTCCTGGAGGGTCTGGAGGGTGGGAGCCTGGGGGGCTGAGAGGCCATCATCTGTCCGCCAGCACTGGGACCTCATCTCGGGCACACAGGAGCCTCAGGAAGGACTGGAGCAGGGACAGGGGCAGGGGGCAGGGGAGGGAGGGCTGCAGGGAGGCGAGAGCTTGGGGGTAAGAAGGAGGCGGGCCCACAGCTGAGGCCTGCCCTCAGTCGGTGCTGCCTGCCCCTGCAGTCACTGTGACCAAGGTCACCACAGCCCAGGGACTCTCTGGGAGGCTGACAGGGAGAAGAAAGCAGGGAGACGGCCACCTGAAGGACCCCAGTAGAGGGAGAACCCTCTCTGAGCCATCTGCAGAACTGGGCACGGACCCGAGAGGGAGTGAACCCCAGAGGGAGCAAACCCCAGAGGGAGCCCGGGCGGGCTGAGTGGGGAACACGGGGGTCAAGCCAGACAGAAGGGACAGCCGGGACAGCTACACACCCTCAAGCCACCCCACCCACAGATGCCCCGGTCCGGGCCCTGCACTGTCTGCAGAGTGCCTCATGCCCCACTCCTCAGCTCTGCCCCCACCTCCTGCTGGCGAGACCAACAAGCCCCTCTGGGCTCAGGCTTTCCTCTCTCGCCCACAACAACCACTCCACAAGGTCCACGAGGAGCCCGGCTGCCTGGCCACCCCAGGCCCACATGAGCCCAGACCCTGCACCCAGTTTATCGCACAGCTGCCCGTTTGTGAGACCCGGGGGCCCTGGTGCATCTGGGGAGTGAGCGAGCGAGGGAGTGATGGGAGCCTGGTGGACAGACTAGCAGGTGCCATGGGGCCAGAGGACAAGGAGAGAGCTGGTGACAGGGACTCTCCTTGCCCCACCATCCCCCCAAGGCCCAGCACGTGGCCACAGGCTCCTGTGCCTCTAGTCTCCTAGGGGACCTCCTTGTCCTCCTGGCACCCCATGGCTGGCGCTGCCTCACCATCAGGCCTTGCTCACTACACTTCTGCATGTGCATGTGTGTGTGCAAGTGTGCACACGAGTGGGTGTGCATGCATGCACTTTGCCTTCCTGAATGGGGCCTGTGAGGGTGGGCCAGGCCCTGGATGGCCCTTAAGCAGAGGTGGGTCGTCCCAGCACCGAGCAGGGCTCTGTCCACATAGGTCTGAACACCACCTCCTTTGAGCACCTAGGCCTCCAGAGGCTGAAGGACTCCCCACAGACAGGTGAGGGCCATGGCAGCCTCTCACCCTGTGGAGCTACCCAGAGCAGCCAGGTCACAAAGTGGCTGTGATCTGGGGTTTCCATGTGCGGGGATCCAGCTACAGAGGAGGCTCAGCCAGGCCCTCACCTGGGGGAGACAAGTCCATGATGCCAAGAGGAGTGGGAGCCCTACTGGGTGAGGGCTGAGCTATGGCTTCACGTCCTACAGACCCCGGGGCTGAAAACACCACGGATCCCAACCTCGACAGCAGCCTGCACTCCTGTAAGACTCGGGGCGGGACACAGACCCCAGCCCAGAGCTGGGTGGGCATGGTTGGGGAGGGAGTCTTTCCCACTCACCCTAGTAGGGCCTGGAACTTGGGGGGACACTTGTCTCCCAGCATGGATTCCCCAGGGGCCCAGCTCATGGGGTGAGGCTACCCAAAGCCGCCTCACTGGCCGAGGGGACACAGGGCTCCGAGACCCTGCCCGTTCTCTCCACAGCTCCAGACAGGGGCTGGTGCTCTACATGGGGGGCCGGCCACTTCTCCACCTTTGATGGACACATGTATGACTTTGCGGGAACCTGCAACTACATCTTCGCTGCCATCTGCAAGGATGCCTCGGCCACCTTCAGCATCCAGCTACGGCGAGGACCCAGTGGGAACATTTCCCGGATCATTGTGGAGATGGGGGCCTCTGTGGTCACTGTGCAGAAGGCGGTCATCTCCATCAAGGACGTAGGGTAGGCCGTGTGACTGGGCCGGGCGGCTGGGGGGGTCAAGGGGTCGGCTACTGACCACTCTCACCCCACAGGGTTGTCAGCCTGCCCTACACCAGCAACGGGCTCCAGATCACACCCTTCGGCCAGAGCGTGCGGCTGGTAGCCAAGCAGCTGGAGCTGGAACTGGTGGTCATGTGGGGCCCAGGCGCCTACCTCATGGTGAGGACGCCGGGGGCTGAGCTTGGAGACATATGAGGGGCGGCAGGCAGGGCTAGAGGGGCTGCCCTCTTTGCGGTGTGGTTCCCCACCAGCCCTTAAGCTCCTGCAACACCGTGCTGACCCCCAGTCAGAGACTGGGCAGCCTGGGATCAGTTAGTGGCTCAATTTCCCCACTTGAAATTGAGGACGATCCAGCGAGAAAAGGAGGCCCCCAGGAGGAGCAGAGTGGGCTGTTGCTGGGGCAGGATGTCCTCATGGCCGGCACCGTGAGGGGCGCCCTGGGCTCCCCGAGCAGGTGCACGTGGCCTCCACAGCTGGCCGAGGGTCCTGGGACCTGGGAGCCCTGCACCCCTCCCGGCCTGCCTCACCACAGTGCCCACCCGCCTGCAGGTCCTGGTGGAGAAGAAGTACATGGGCAGGATGTGCGGGCTGTGTGGCAACTTCGACGGCGAGAAGACCAACGAGTTTGTGAGCGAGAACGGTAGGTGGGGAGGCGGGGCCCAGACCCTCTGTGGGCCAGGCCCCTGGTGCTGATCCTGTCCCTTCCCACACTCCCAGGCAAACTCCTGGAACCCCACAAGTACGCCGCCCTCCAGAAGCTGGATGACCCCAACGAGATCTGTGCCTACGAGGCCATCCCCCATCCCCAGGTCCTGCAGGCAAAGCATGTACGTGAGGTGGTCAGGGCACTCGGGGGCCACTCGGGGGCCATGGGAGCCCTTCAGCCATGGTGGGGCCAGGCCACAAGGTCTGACAGGGTATCCAAGGCCATCAACGCCCTACCTTCCAAGACACGTGCGTGGTGTGGGATGTGGCCTTGACCCCCATGACCCTGAGTGGCCCTCTGCCCAGGCCCAGACTTGCAGCCAGTTGCTGACCCTGGTGTCCTCCGAGTGCAACGTGCCCAAGGAGCCATTCGTGTTGAGCTGCCAGGCGGACATGGCCACATGCGCCCAGCCAGGCCAGCAGAACTGCAGCTGTGCCACACTGTCTGAGTACTCACGCCAGTGCAGCATGGCTGGCCAGCCTGTCAACAGCTGGCGGGGGCCTGGCCTCTGCTGTGAGTCCCAGGGAGGGTGGCAGGGAGGGACAGGGCCCCAGATACCGACGCCTCGAATCCCCTCTTGTCCACAAGAGGGAAGGAGACATGGGCGGGGGAGGGGCGGGTGGCAGGGGTCTTCGGGCACCCCTGCCTCTCTCACCTGGGCTGCTGTGGCCTGCAGCTGTGGGCCAGTGCCCAGCCAACCAGGTGTACCAGGAGTGCGGCGAGGCCTGTGTCAAGACCTGCTCCAACCCGCAGCACAGCTGCTCCAGCTTCTGCACCTTTGGCTGCTTCTGCCCAGAAGGTGAGGGCACCCGCTTTCCCCGGGACCCCTCAAGATGAGCCCAGAGACAGGGCATCAGCCCCCGCCCCACTCTCCAACACATTGGAGCCGGGACCCAGCTCGCCTAGGATGCTCTCCTGGGGACTTGCCCCAGGAAGAGCTCTGCCCTGCAAAGCACACACAAATGCTCACGGCCTCAAATTGGCCCCGAGCCCCTCGGCCGCGTGTGCAAATCCACGGGGGAGTGAGGTAGTGTCCGCTGGAGGGTCCAAGAGGCTGCTGGGAAGAGGTGAGATTTGAGCTGGACCAGGGACACGGCCTTCCACTCACCCGGAGCAGCATCACTCCCTGGTCTGGGCGCATTGACAGGAGGGGACAGGAGGCAGGTAGGGCTGGAGGTGTGGGTCACAGCCTGGAGCCAGGGAGCGGTGGGGAGGAGGACAGGGCCTGGCCTGCCCCAGGGGCCCTCGCAGGCTGGGCCAGGGAGGGGCTGAACAGCAGGAGGGTGGGAGATGTCTCCTACCACAGCCCCAGGAAGCCCCTCTCCTGTAGGTATGGTTCTTGATGACACCTCCAAAAACTACACCTGTGTGCCGGTCACCCAGTGCCCCTGCAAGCTCAGTGGGGTGGCCTACGCCCCCGGGGAGGTCACCATAGCCGCCTGCCAGACTTGGTGAGTGTCGGGCAGCTTGCGAGGACATGTGGGCAGGATGGGGGCGTGAGGGAACATGGGGGTCACGGGGCAGCCCCAGCCCTGGAGGCAGCTCTGCCAGCCTGGAGTACCTGGGGGAGCCGTCTGGCTCCTGCAGCCCCGCCTGCCACTCTGGGTCATGCCCTCCCCACCCGCAGTCAGTGCACCATGGGCCACTGGGAGTGCTCAGAGCGGTCCTGCCCGCGAAGCTGCTCCCTGGAAGGTGGCTCCTTCGTCACCACATTCGACGCCAGGCACTACCGCTTCCACGGCACCTGCACCTACATCCTCGTGCAGGTGGGACACGCCCACCACGGGGGGGCCACCATGAGGGGTCACCATGAGACCCCCCAGGACCTCTTTGCTGAGCTGTCCTTTCCCCCAGAGCCCTGAGCTCCCTGATGGAGGCTCCCTCATGGCCACATATGACAAGTCTGGGTACTCACACTCTGAGACCTCCCTGGTCGCTGTCATCTACATGTCCAGCCAGGTAGGCCGCCTGCCTTCGGCCATCGTGCCCACCCCGGGTCCCTGAGCAGATGCATCCCCGCCATGTCTCAGCTCCTGCTTCACCCCCCCCTGGCCCGCAGGAGGGGAGGCCTCCCCAACTCCAGCCCCCTGTCACTCAGGCCACTCTCCCTCTAGGACAAAATCGTGATTTCTCAGGACGAGGTGATCACCAACAATGGAGACACCAAGTGGCTGCCGTACAAGACTCGTATGTCCTCAGCCCCTGCCCGACACCCGGGGCCTCGCTGGGCTAGGGTCCCAAGGCAGGCTGCACTGAGCCCCCTGTCCCCCTAGGCAATATCACAGTCTTCAGGCAGACGTCCACCCACCTGCAGATGGCCACCACCTTCGGGCTGGAGCTGCTGATTCAGCTACAGCCTGTGTTCCAGGTGTACATCACTGTCGGGCCCCAATTCAGAGGCCAGACCCGAGGTGAGCCCTGCCCCGACCTGCCCAGGGTCGGCCCGCTGCGCGTCCCCACCCGGCTTGGCCACGCCAGAGAAGAAGGGGCCCAACAGAGCCTGGCACTGATCCGGCACATCCAGCACTCCCTGCCCCAGGCCAGCCCTCCCAGGGGTGTAGCCAGCGATGGCCTCTTGCCTGGGCATGCGCAGGGGAGGAGAGGAGTTTGGGGAGAGCGGGGCAGGATGGGGACGAGGGCCAGCTCACACTCATGGCCTGGCCGGCTCAGGGCTCTGTGGCAACTTCAACGGGGACACGACAGACGACTTCACAACCAGCATGGGCATCGCCGAGGGCACCGCCTCACTCTTTGTGGACTCCTGGCGGGCTGGGAACTGCCCGGCCGCGCTGGAGCGCGAGACCGACCCCTGCTCCATGAGCCAGCTCAACAGTAAGTGCTTGGCCTGGTGGAGGGCTGTGGGGGTGGGCAGGAGACCCATGCCAGGCGAGCGGGAGACCCACACCAGAGCTGTCCCCCCAGAGGTGTGTGCGGAGACCCACTGCTCGGTGCTGGTGAAGACGGACACAGTGTTCGAGAAGTGCCACACCACGGTGGACCCCAAGCCCTTCTACAAGGTGGGCGGGACCTGCAGGCTCACAGGGAGGCTGCAGAAGGCCACAGGGGTTGCAGGAGGCTGGGGAGGAGTGGGAGGCTGCAGGGGTGGCAGGAGGCTGTTGGGGTAGCAGGGGTGGGGGGGCAGGGTGGGGCAGGCTGCTGTGGGGGTGGCGAGAGGCTGTGGGGGCCACGGGAGGGCGGGTGCCCACGGCCGCTGTTTGCCTGCAGAGGTGCGTGTACGAGGCCTGCAACTACGAGGAGACCTTCCCGCACATCTGTGCCGCCCTGGGTGACTACGCCCACACGTGCGCCTCGCGGGGCGTCTTGCTCTGGGGCTGGAGAAGCAGCGTGGACAACTGCAGTGCGTGCCAGTGGGCATGGGCGGGGGGGTGGGGGGCAGGGGTCACAATCGGGGCCCGGGGCCCAGGGCCCAGAGCTCTGCCCGGCCATCCCCCAAGGGCCTGACTCTGGGGTCCCTCGCAGCCATTCCCTGCACGGGCAACCAGACGTTCAGCTACGACAGCCGGGCCTGCAACCGCACGTGCCTGTCATTATCCGATCACACGGCCGAGTGTCACCCCAGCGCCATGCCCGTGGACGGCTGCAACTGCCCCGAGGGCACCTACCTGAACCACAAGGCCGAGTGTGTGCGCAAGGCCCAGTGCCCCTGCCTCCTGGACAACTACAAGTTCGTCCTGGCCGACCAGTCTACCATGGTCAACGGCATCATCTGGTAAGCGAGGGGCTCCCAGGTGGGCCAGTCCTGCCCTGGCTTGCAGACCCTGGCCCAGGGCTGGTGCACTCATGCAGCCTCTCTCTTGCAGCTACTGCATCAACGGACGGCTGAAGTGCCCAGGGCGTTCGCTGACGCTTTTGGGTATGTAGCCACGGCCCAGGCCTGGGGACCTGGACTGTGAGGGGCCGTGGCCTCCTCTGACCTGGCCTCACCCCGGGCCCCCCTTTCTCCACAGAATCCTGCTCGGCCCCCAAGACATTCCAGGCCTGCAGCCAGTCCTCGGAGAACAAGTTTGGGGCAGCCTGTGCCCCCACGTGTCAGATGCTGGCCACTGGCATCCCCTGCGTAAGACTGGGGCGGAGCAAGGAGCCAGAGTGGACGCCCCCCAGAGCCTCTCATAGGGCCAGGAGAGGATGTCCACAAATCCCCAAGGAGGACGCGGCCACGCCCTGTGCTGTGCCCATCATCCTGCGATGCATGCCATGGGAGGCCGGGTGTGCTTGTCTGTGGGGTTCCCTGAGGACTGTGGCAGCAGCCCCTCAGCTTGGGGATGGGGAGGGTACAACAGCCCTGCCGTGACACACACAGGCGCTAGAACCTTCCCTGAGGGAAAGGCAGCTTTGCTAAAAGGAAGGCCCAGAGTGGGGGGCAGTTCTGGGAGGAAAGCTGGGGCTGCCAAGAGGGCCCAGGGCTGAGGCAGCAGCAGGCAGGGCCACCCTCCCAGGGCCCACTGACCCTCCCCCGCAGGTGCCCACCAAGTGCGAACCCGGCTGTGTCTGTGCCGAGGGCCTCTATGAGGACGCCAATGGGCAGTGTGTGCCCCCGGAGGAGTGCCCGTGTGAGTTTGCGGGGGTCTCCTACCCCCTGGGTGCCGAGCTCAACACGGACTGTAAGACCTGGTAAGCTCGGCCTCACCCCAGGGACCTGGCTGTCCTTGGGGTCCTTTGAGGTGGGCTGGGGGTCCCCCAACAACCCCACCAAGGCCAGGGTGCTGCAGGGTGTGTGTTTAGCCTGGGTCTCCCTGACACCCCTGCTCCTCCCCCAGTACCTGCTCGAGGGGGAAGTGGACATGCCAGCAGAGTGCCCAGTGTTCGTCCACCTGCACCCTCTACGGGGAGGGCCACATGGTCACCTTTGACGGGCAGCGCTTCGTGTTCGACGGCGACTGCGAGTACATCCTGGCCACGGTGAGGCTGGGCCCCGGGCTGCAGGGAGCAGGGCTGCGGGAGTTTGCCTGGTGGGCTCCTCCTCAGCGCCCCCCTCCCCACAGGATGGCTGTGGCGCCAATGACTCGCAGCCCACCTTCAAGATCCTGACGGAGAATGTGGTGTGTGGGAAGTTGGGCGTCACCTGCTCCCGGGCCATCAAGATCTTCCTGGGGGTGAGTAGGCCGGGCAGGGCCTCCCCACACCTCAGCCACTGGAGCCCCAGGTCCTAGTCTCTCGGTACTACCAGGCACTTGCTGCCCCTCTGCCCTCAGCCTCTTCGTCTGCATGACGGGCTGCAGTGTCTCCCAGAGCTGGACAGCCATGCAGAGGGTAGGGGTTCTCCATGAAGCCTGAGCCACAGCCCTCAGCACAGTTTCCATGATGTTCTGGAACCTTCCACCAATGACAGGCTCTAGAGGGCAGGCCGTAGCCCAGAGCTGGCCCTCGGCAGGCATTGGCCTGTATGTGTCCTTAACAGATGTGGTCCACCCTGCCTCAGAGAGTTCGGCAGGGGAGGCAGAACCCAGTGGCAGGCAGCCCCATCATGGCCCCACCCCACAGGGCCTGTCCATTGTACTGGAGGACAAGAACTACACGGTCAGTGGGGAGGAGGACCCCCATGTGCACTTCCGGGTGAAGGCCAGCTCCCTGAACCTGATGCTGGACGTCACCATCAGCAGCAAGTATAATCTGACCCTCATCTGGAACAAGCACATGACTGTCTTCATCAAGATCGCACGCTCCTCCCAGGTACCTGCACCACCCCTGCCCCACAGGAGTCCAGGGAGCAGGGGCAGCGCCTGTCCACCCCGCCTGACACCAGCCCCCACAGGACGCTCTCTGCGGCTTGTGTGGCAACTACAACGGGAACATGAAGGACGACTTTGAGACACGCAGTAAGTACGTGGCATCCAGTGAGCTGGAGTTTGTGAACTCGTGGAAGGAGAACCCGCTGTGTGGGGACGCCACCTTCGTGGTGGACCCCTGCAGTCTCAACACCTTCCGCCGCTCCTGGGCTGAGCGCAAGTGCAGCATCATCAACAGCCAGACCTTCGCAGCCTGCCACAACCAGGTGAGCCGGCCCCACAATGCACGCCCTCCTGAATGTCCAGCGGGGATGCCCCAGGGGTACAGTGTGGGGGGAAGGCCACAATCCACACTGGGGGGCCCACGTGGAACCCCTGCTCTTGACCAAGCAGTCAGGAGAGGGGCACTCAAGGACCGAGACCCAGCAGCTGCCCTGGGGTTAAGCGGGTGGGGTCCGGGTCTCCAGCTCCCGGAGCAGCCCCTGCCTGCGGGTCAGACCGCGCAGGGCGGGCAGCCAACACTGAAGCCTGGGCCCTGCAGGTGTACCACCTGCCTTACTATGAGGCCTGCGTAAGTGACACATGCGCGTGTGACACCGGAGGGGACTGCGAGTGCCTGTGCGATGCTGTGGCCGCCTACGCCAAGGCCTGCCTGGACAAGGGCGTGTGTGTGGACTGGAGAGCCCCCGACTTTTGCCGTGAGTGTCCTGTTCCCACGGGCTGCAGTGCTTCTCCTCGGCATGCGGCAGGTTGCGCCCCTACAGGGAGACACCACAGAGGGACCCTGAGCCTTTGAGGCCCGCATCCAGGCTCCCTGGCCGGCACACACTGAGGGCTTTGCTGGGGCCTGGCTCAGGGCCAGGGCTGCCACCTGACAGGCACTCTTCCTTCCAGCCGTCTACTGCGACTTCTACAATACCCACACGCAGGTGGGCAGCGGCGAGTACCAGTACACCCAGGAGGCCAACTGCACGTGGCACTACCAGCCGTGCCTCTGCCCAGGGTGGCCACAGAGCATCCCAGACAACATTGAAGGTACCAGCGCAGAGGGAGGGATCTGAGCAGAGGACTGATGGGGCTCCCCAGGCCAGGAGGACAGGAGCCTGGGGAGCAAGGACAGGGAGGTGGAGGAGGGCCAGGCCTGGAGCCATAGGACCGCCGACAGGAGGCATGTGGGAGAGGCACCAGGTGCACAGCACAGGGTGTCTGGCGGTGGGGAGTAAGACAGGGCACCTGCGTCTGGGGTTCAGGCAAGAGGCCGGGACTGGGCATGGACAGAGGGAGGGACAAAGGCCTGGGGAAGGGGGGCCTCCAGAGGCGGGCACTGAGCTTGGCCTGTCTCCACACCCCCAGGCTGCTACAACTGCTCCCAGGACGAGTACTTCGACCACGACGAGGGGACGTGCCTGCCATGCAGTAAGCTCGGGCACTGCCCAAGGGCCTCCCATGTCTGCCCAGCCCTGGTGCAGAGCTCCCTGCACACACCTCTGGCCGGGTCCCCAGCACCCCCATCCCCAGAGCTGTGCCCTGGGGTGCTGAGACTCCCAGAGACCCAGGCAGCCCCAAGCTCATATAGACGGCACAGAGAGAGAAATGACAGGGCCTCTCTCCGCCTCACCTCCCCTCTCCAGACAGCAACTCCCCAGCCCCCAGTCCCAGGACAGGCCCAGGCCCCGCCAGCCTGCCCGGTGTGTGAGTGCAGAGCAGAAATCTCCTGGGAATTCAGCACAGGTGGCCTGGAGAGCTTCCCTAAGTGGGCACTGGACATGTCTGCAGCTACCCTGGGGGTGCAGCGCCCTGACTGGCCCCTCCACTCCCTGCCAGGCCCACTGACCAGGGGAGGGGGTGGTACTGGGAGGGGAGGAGGACGGAGAGCCAGCGCCCAGGCACCTCTGCGGTGGCTCCCTCCCACTTGGTCCTCTGCCTCTGGAGCAACTCCGACTCAGACCCTGGGGACACACCTGAAGGCTTCCGAAGGGCCGTAGCAGGGCAGTGCTCCTGACCACTCCTCCTCTTGCAGTGCCGCCGACCACGACGTCTCCACCGCCCACTACAGGTGATTGCACACACACTAGGTGCTGAGGTGAAGAAGGCTTTCTCCCCAGGGCTCTTCCCTGGCTCTGCAAGTCAGCCCCTGGCCAGCTAGCCTGTGCCTGTCCAGCGCCAGGCAGCAGCAGCTGCTGCTGTCCCTGCAGCCCCGGCCAGTTTGTGTGGGGCGGCATCCCTGGGCTGCTGTGACAGTGGGAGCAGCAGGTGCTGAGCAGCAAGTCAGAGGCGAGGGATGGGTAAAGCTTAGCTCCCGGCCGACAAACAGCCGGCCCCTCCACAGCCCCCACTGGATGGCCACTGAGCACAGCAGGGCCAACAAGCAAGTTCCCCAACAGGAAACTCCCACCCTGCCCTCGGAGGGCCACAGGCTGGCCCCTGTGCCTCCCACCCAGCCTGCCTAGAGCTACATGGCTTGGAGGCCCAGCAAGCAATAGACAGGGGTTCCTCCTAAAGGGTGTACCCCCACAATAAGAGCACATCTGCCCCTCAGGTTCACCCTCCACAGGAACCAGGACCACCACGGCCACCCCCAGCACCACGGAGACCCCCAGGATCACTGGGCTCCTCAGCTCCACCGGACCCTCACCAAGCTCCCCAGCCACACCTGTGGCCCCCACCCAGACCTCTCGCCTTCCGGCCACAGCCACAGCCCCCACCTCCACACAGGCAGCAACAGCCCCAACCACCCAGACAGAACCAACAGTCTCCTCAGGTGGTAAGGGCCCCGAGGGCCCCACTGTGGTGACAGAGGCATGTGCAGGGTCACAGACGGGCTCTGGTAGAGACAGAGGGCAGGGCCATCCCCATACTTCGCTGAAATCTTTCCACTGAGCAGATTCTCAGGCACAGAATTCCCTGCACTTGGGAGTGGAGCTGGGTTTCTTTGAAAGGCTTTTTTAAAGAATAAGTGGGCCACAGGACGTGGCCGTTCCTGGCTGATACTGTTGCTAGGAAGCATGAGGGACCTGCTGGGCAGAAGGCCACCAGGAGCACAGGGCAGACCTCTGTGCAGCCTTCCCCCTAGCCCATCACCACACCCACCCCACCCCACCCAGCAGCAACCCCTTCTGGCTGCCCCGGGACCACGAGGGGACACGATATGGGTGCCACTAGCAAAGGCAGGTGGAGGGACAGCCAGTGGCCCACAAGAACACAAGGTTACCAAGGACCCCAAGCCAGGGCCGGCCAGAGGAAGACATGAGTGTCAGCCAGGGGAAGACACATTTCTCACAAAGGAGCTAAGAGTACCCTGTTGGTGTGGCTCCTGGGGTAAGGAAGACGGGGGGACCCAGAGGGGAAAGTGCAGATGAGGATGGACAGAATGTTCTGGGGGCTGTTCCCTGCAGTGTCACCTCGAACTACCTCTGCTGTCACCACGCGGGCCACATCAGCGACAGCACCCACAGCCACTCCCAGGTCAACGTCCACAGGACCCACTGTGACCCATGCGACAACACAGCACACAGCATCACCCCTCAGCACGACCACGCAATCCACAGCTCAGTACACAGTGCGCACCACAGCAGCACCAGCAAGCCCAGCAACACCAGGGACCTCCAAGGGACCCCCAACAAGTAAGCCAGCCCCCACTCATGTGTCCCCGCAGAGGGCCACAGCATACATGCCCTGATGCCCAGCCCAAGCTGTCCAGGGCTGCATGGAGGAGAGCAGCCTGAGAGCACCCCCAGGAACAGGGAGGTCCGAGGGTGGGGGCAGCCTGCCGAGCCCCCAGCCCTCAGCCTACCTCCCTAAACATGCTTCTCTCTGCACTTCTCCGCAGCGACAGCTTCGGAGCTCCGATCCACCACGGCTGCCTCCTCCCCAGGTGAGCCACAGACACAGGGGACTTCATGGGTGCCAAAAGCACTTGACACAAAATACAGTTCCCACTATGCAGGATGGGCCAGAAACATCTGTATTCCAACACTGGCATCAGAAGAGAAGCCCATTACAAAGGCCAGCAGCAGAGATGCTCGTGGAGGGATGGCCCACTCCGCCCCAAGAAAAGCCACTCTGAAAGTGGGGGAAACAGGGAGGAGACAGAGGGCTACAGAGGAGGGAACCCAAAACGACTAGAGGCAACTGACCTGCAACGAGGGCCAGGGAAGACACAGGACAGGGGTCGAGGAGGAGAGGGTGGGACACAGGAAGAATGCCTGGGACAACCTCCCAAGATGCACTCAAACCACAGCAAAAGAGGGTGAGAAGTGGGAGCTGAACCAACAGGAGGAGGTAAGAAAGAAAGGGACTTGACAGACGTTGTCTCCCACAGCATCCTCCACAACCGAATGGACCCGGAGCACAGCTGTCAGCCAGAACACAGAGCACACTGACAGGCCGCCAAACGGTCATACCAGCACAAGCCCCAGCACACGCTCAAGCACCCAGCACACCACCCCGCTAACATCACCAGGCACGAGGGCACACACCACAAGTGAAGAGAGCACACCAACAGCACACACCCTCAGCACTCCCCACACTGTCTTCACCACTCACTTCTCCCCACCGACCGTCTCCCTCTCCTCCACCGCCCACACCACAGGGCCGCCCACGGGGACATCCTTCCGGACCACCAGCACCTCCCCGACCCCATCACGCCCCGAGACCACTCTGCCCACTCAGGTTCCAACATCTGCCACCTCCTCGGTCACTCCAACTTCCCACCGAGTCATCACCCCAACCCAACCAGAAACCCAGTCTTCTGCAGCCTCTCAAACGCCAACGGCCAACCCTCCTCCGTCTTCCCACGTCCCCCCGACAGCCACAGCGCCCACACCCACACCCACAGCCGCCCGCGTGACACTGACCACAACGCGGACCACCCAAGCCCCCACCTCGCTCAG